GTCGGTTCTGACTCGATGGCACCTGACAACAACAACAATGGGCGAAATATTGAATGATGCAGAAAGCATCATAAGAAGATGGAAGGAATATACAGAGTCACTGTACCAAATCAAAATGGTTGATGGTCAATCATTTCAAGTGGTAGATCAATAGCCAATGGTACTGAAGGAAGAAGTCGAAGGTGCTCTGAAGGCATAGACAAAGAACAATGATCCGGGAATTGATGGAATACAAATTGAAAAATTTCAACAAACTTATGCAACACTGGAGCCACTTACTCATTTATGGCAATAAATTTGGAAAACAGCTATCTGGTTAACTGATTGGAAGACATTCATATTTGTTCCCATTCCAAAGAGAGGTGATCCAACAGAATGCAGAAATCAGCATACAATATCATTAATATCACATGCAAGTAAAATGTGCTAAAGATAATTAAAAAACGGCTGCAACAGTACATTGACAGGGTTCAGGTCAGATTCAGAGGATGACACGGAACAAGGGACATCATTGCTGATGTCAGATGGATCTTGCCTAAAGTCAAAGAGTACCAGAAAAATGTTTACTTGTGCTTTACTGACTATGCAAAGGCTTTTGACTGTGTGGACCATGACAAGCTATGGATAACACTGTAAAGAATGAGTATTCTGGAACACTTAATTGTGCTCAGGACTCCATATAATGCATTGTTGTTAAGCGCTGTCTAGTTGATTCTGACTCTTAGTGACCCTGTATAGGGTTTCTGTAATTTTTTTTGCTAGAGAGAAAAGCCTCATCTTTCTCTGTGGTGACTTCAACCTTGTGGTTCACACGCAGTCCAGTGCTTATAGTACTGTTGTTAAGTGCCGTTGAGTCGGTTCTGACCCATATACACCCTGGATAGGGTTTCTGAGGAGTGGCTGGTGTTGTTGTTGTTAATGTGCCGTGGAGTTGGTTCCGACTCATAGCGACCCTGCACAGGGTTTCCAAGGCTGTAAATCTTTACAGGAACAGAAAACCTCATCTTTCTCCCGTGGAACAGCTGGTAGTTTTGAATTACTGACCTTGAGGTTAGAAGCCTGATTTGTTCGTGGTGGTAAATCCAAGCAGTTGACCCAGGTTAGATTCCCGACCAATGCAGACACAAAAATAACGTGGAGTCCTGGTGTGGCGCTGTGGGATAACGCACTGGACTGCAAGGTCGCTTTGAACCTCAAGGTCGGCGATTCAAATCCACCAGCTGTTTCTCAGAAATCCTCTACCAGGTTACTATGAGTCAGAACTGATTCGATGGCACTTACAACAACAAATGCTAGGGAAAAATTAAAGCAAGGCAGAGAGATAGGAGAGTGCTGGGAGAAGGCATCATGTCAGGTAGCCATGAAGTGACATTTCTCAGAAGAAGTGACATTTGTGTAGAACCCAGAGGAAGTGAGAGAGAGCCACACCTTACACTTTGCCTTTTACTGCTTTCACTCCTCAAGTCTCGCTTGCAGGGTGCTTGCCACAGAGCAGGGACCAAAAACTCTTTGCTGCTATGAACTGAAGCAGATTAGATGTTCAGGATCGAGAGCAACTTCTACACTGACAAGGTAAAACTTGATGCTCTCTAGATTATGAACTAATATTTCTTGAAAACATGACATATTTTTACTTCCTCCAGTCTTAATAAAAATGTAAAAGGAATGTAACTTTTTCAGCCTGTTATTTCCCATTCTCCTTTAATTTAGTTAGGTCGCTGTTGTTGTTAAGTGCCATCCACTTGGTTCCGATTCACAGCGATCCCATATAGGGTTTCCGAGGTGCACCTTGTGGGTTTGAACTGCCGACCTTGTGGTTAACAGTCTAGTGTTTTATTCCACAGCACCACACCAGGACTCCAATTTCATTAGAGTAAATTTTTAAAGTACAGTATACTGATAAGGAGCTTTGGTGGTGCAGTGGGTAAGCGCTCAGCTGTTAATCAAACCCACAGCCTGGCCACAGAAGACAGATGTGGCAGTTGGCTTGTGTAGAGACTGACAGCCTTAGGCACCTTAGGGCACAGTGCTACTCTGAGTTGAAATCAGCTCCACAGCAGCTGGGTCGGCTATGGTTAGGATGCTGATTGGCAGATTACCTCTTCTTCTTCTTGTTCTTCTTCCTCTTCTCCTTCCTCTTCTCCTTTCCCCTCTTTTTGGGTTTCCTTCTTCTTTTTCCTGCGACTTTCAATGATTTCAGGATCCCACTGATCTCTCGGGTATATGTACCCGGTACTACTGTGCTGTCTTTGCCCAGAAATTCTTTGGCATAAATCGAAGTCAGGGCACTAGGGAACAACATTGATAAATTACTTACAACATTTTGAATATACTTTAAATTCCTATTTACAAATAATGAAATACATAAACCCCAAAAAATTCCTTAACACCCTGAGTCAATACAATATTGTGATTTTGCATCATATCGGTTCATGCCAAGAGAGGCACGAGACACAATCTTTTTGCTGTACCAACACTTTTGTTTGTCTGAAATTAATACATAAGTGAGGAAGTGTTAGTAGTTTTACGATAACAAAAAAGGTCAGGAGAATGGTAGAGTAAAGCAATAGAAGAGAAAATCACAGTGTGGAAAGGTACACAGGCTTCTGTTAGATTAGTTTACAAAATGTTGAGAATGGTGTAAAATGAGGGAATTTTCAGATATTTCCAACATGTAAAATACATATTCTATATACTATTTAAGGAGCCCTGATAACATAATGGGTTATGAATTAGGCTGCTAGCCACTGCTCCCTGGAAGACAGATGAGGCTTTCTGCTCCCATAAGATGTACAGCCTCGGACACCCTATAGAGGGTCACTATGAGTTGTAACTGACTTGATGGTACACAGCAGCAGCAGCATAATTTATATTTTTGGGTTAAGGACTTGATAAAATAGCAATCATGAATGGAACCGGAAAGGTCATCCATCTAGTCTATGTGTCACTTTAACATCTATAATGCTTTCTTTGAAATACGATATTATAAGATTTAGACATTGTGCCCAAACCATATTATATTTAGGGAGTCCCTGGATTATGAATTTATGAGTTCTGTTCCTAAGTCTGTTTTATGTCAATTAATAAAATGTTTGTCTTAAGTATACAGTGGAGTCCTGATGTGGCGCTGTGGGTTAATGTGATGGACTGCAAAGTTGGTTTGAACTGCAAGGTTAGTGGTTCAAGCTCACCAGCCATTCCTCTGAAACCCTATACAGGGTTGCTGTGGGTCAGAACTGACTCAATGGCACTTAACAACAACAAAGTATATAGTATGCAGGACTTTAAAAAGTTAGTAGAAAAATGTAATGAAAAATAATGTAATTTTTCCCTATACATTTTGAAGCCCTCTTGCATATCATATAACTTGCTATGAATAAAAAGCACTAAAAATCTATAACATAATAATAATAATAATAAATAATGAGTCCTAGTGGCACTGGGAATCTTGGTGTGGCACTGTAGGATAAGCATTAGACTGCAAGGTTGATTTGAACTACAAGGTGGCAGTTCAAACCCACCAGCTGCTCCTCAGAAACCCTATACAGGGTGGCTGAGTTGGAACCAACTCAACAGCACTTAGCAACAACAACAAAGTAGCACTGTGGGCTAGGCACTGGGCTGCTAACCACAAGGTCGGCAGTGAAACCCACTAGCCACTGTGCAGGGAAAAGATTAGCTTGTGTGCTCTCACAAAGATTTATAGTCTTAGAAACCCTATTTAGGGCCGTTGTGATCTGGAATCGACTTGATGATACTGCTGGTGCTGGTGGTTATGTGCCGTGGAGTTGGTTCCAACTCATAGAGACCCTGTACAGGGTTTCCAAGGCTGTAAATCTTCATGGGAGCAGAAAGCCTCATCTTTCTCCCGCGGAACAGCTGGTAGTTTTGAACTGCTGACCTTGCAGTTTGCAGCCCAATTTGTAACCACTACACTACCAGAGCTCTTTCATGACAGCGGTAGGAATAGTAATACTAATAGTGTTTTGATGCAGCACTTGTTTTTATTATGAACTGCAAATATCTAATATAATAGGCTTTATGGGAGTTGGGACCACAGATGTATATGGTTGCCTAAACACACGTTATGTGGCACAGGAATGGAGTCTAATCCCTTCATTTTGCAAATGAAAAAACTGAGTCTAAGTAGTGAAAAAGCCAAAACCAAAGTCTGCAGAGTAAGGGTCCTGTTTTCAAAGTGCTTTCACATGTGCAGTTTTACTGAACTCCCTTACTAACTATAAGATATGTGATCTGATAGGATGATTAGAGCCATTTTACAGGTGAGGAAGTGCAGCTCTGGCAGGCTACGGGACTGCACTCTGCTAGACTGCAATGTCACATGGAGAAATTCTATGTGGAACCAGGTCTTCTGATCCTATCCCATGCTCTGTGAGCACAGCTCTGCTAGCGTAGTGGTTACAAGTTGGGCTGCTAACCTCAAGGTTAGCAGTTCAAAACTGTCAGCGGTTCCACATGAGAAAGAGGAGGCTTTCTGCTCCCGTAAAGACTTACAGCCTCAGAAACCCTATACAGGGTCGCTATAGGTCAGAACCGATTCGATGGCACTTAACAACAACAATGAAGTCCTGGGGTGATAAGCTGTAGGATAAGCACTGGACCACAAGGTCAGCAGTTCAAAAACCAGCTGTGCCTCAGAAATTCTATATAGGGTTACTATGAGTCAAAACCGACATGACAGCACTTAACAAAGCAACAAACAAATGGTTTTGGGAAAGAACCCTGGTGACACAATGGTTAAGTGCTCAGCTGCTAACCAAATGGCTGGCAGTTGAAGCTGGAGAAAGACCTGATGATTTGTTCCTGTAACAGTTACAGTCTAGAAAACACTATGGGGCAATTCTATTCAGTTACATGAAATCACTATGAGTCAAAATCAACTTGATGGCACCTAACTAGCTACAAAGTTTGGGGTTGGTAAATCCTGCTCTGCATAGTTTTCAGGACAAAAAAATCTGGATGATTTCTGGCAGTGGCTCTTGAATATCTGGGCGTAACTGTATGTAAGGTAGGGTTCTCTGTCAACTTGACTAGATCAGAATTTCCAGAGGTTTAGTAGTTGGATGTGCTTATTCTCATGATGATGAAACCTAATACAGGCACTGTTAACTATGATGAGTGGCCATGAGTAGCCAATCAATTAAAGGGTTGCTTACTTGGGGGTGTGGCCTGCTTCAAATATAATGGTCACATGGGAGGGACTCTTTCTGGGGACCTGGAACTGCAATTATAAGTCATTTTCTTGATAATAGACTTCTCTCTCATTATATATATATATATATATACACACACACACACACACACATACACACACATATGTGAAGGTGAGTCAAAATTATCTGCATTATATTATCTGGTTATATTAAATATATATACACATATATGTGAAGGTGAGTCAAAAATGATCTGCATTATATTATCTGGTTATATTAAAACACTCATCTGTGTCCACAGCTGATGACAACACTGATCATGTACTTGAAATGATTTTGTCAAACAGACAAGTAACAGTGGATTATGTAGCAAATCATTTGCAAATCAGCCATGGCTCTGCCTAAGAAATAATCCAAGACAAACTTGGGTTTCAAGAAGTTTGTGTGGATGGGTACCAAACAACTCACAGAAGAGAATAAACAGGAGTGTCTGGACATCTGCAAACAAAATTTGGACTGGTACTCAAAGGAAGGTAAAACATCATTGCTGGTGACAAAGACATGGATTCATTACTATGAACCTGAGAGTAAATGGCAAAGTATGGAATAGAAACATCCTTAGTCGCCGACCAAGACAAAGTACAAAAGTCAGCCATCAGGTGGAAAATTGATGCTTACGGTTTTCTGGGATTCTCAAGGGTCAGTACTGGAATATGATCAAAAAAAAGGTTCTGATAGTAATAATAATGCTCATTTCAGTGAGGTGCTCACTGAGGTGTTGAAGCCTAAATTTGGGATTAAAAGCAAGAGGACTGTAATCCAAAGGCTTTGTGATCTTGCATGCCAATGGACACCCACACACCTCTGCCTACACATTGCTGAAACTGTAAAAACTTCATTTTTGAGGTGTTAATACATCCTCCCTATAGTCCTAATCTTGCTCCACTGGAATTTCACGTATTTGGTCCCCTGAAAGCAGCCCTTCAAGGATGAATATTCACCTCTGATGAAGAAGTGAAGGCTGCGGTGCATTTGTGGCTCAGCCTAAAACATTTTTTAATAAGGGAATACCAAAGCTTATTGACAGATGGACAAAGTATATTGAAAAGCAAGGAAGTTATGTTGAAAAATGATGTACTTGTCATTTCTAAAAGTTGATTAAAATAAATTCTACAGCCAGAGTAGCTGATTTTTGACTCACTCTCGTGTGTGTGTGTGTGTGTGTGTGTGTGTGTGTGTGTGTGTATTTCACTGGTTTTGCTTCCCTAGAAAACCTGACTGAAGATGTGGTATGGAGAGAGAAACAAAATAAGGATGAATTTTCTAAATTGTTTCTTAAGTCTGACTAATTTTAAAGGCACGGATACAGGGTGGAGGTATGTGTGACCTCCACTTCATAGGAATCGGCCTTGAGCTGAATCTGAGTTTGGTCTTCTTTCCCTTTGTGGAGTCAGATGAAGTCAGACCTGGTCCCCACTTGGTTTAAGCAGTTGGCACTGTGTGCAGGATTCATTGCAATGGCTCCAGACCTATGAATTTATGAGGTTTTGTAAGAGAAAGAATGAAGGCGGATGGGATAAAATATTTCTGAGGGGAAAGCAGCTTCTGTAGTTGCCTGGAGCTGATGCCATGCTGGATAAAAAAGATAGCTGATCTGTAGCCAGGGCCTACTGGGATCCACCCTGCCAGAGGCCCAAGGCCATATGCATATGAATGGGGTTAGTTCAAAAGCGAAGAAAAGATTGAACTTGAGTGGGTTTATGTGTTTACAGAGTAGACAGAGATGGGCAACTTGGACATTGGATACCGAAATGGGGGAGGGGGAAACCACAAAGGCAAGAAGTAACTGGCTTACAAGCTTTCAAGAGGGAACCTAGAGCTAGGGGGCATGGAGGGAGACAGAATCTCCAGTGAGTACTATATCTGTCTAGGCGGAGCTGATGAAATGAAATGCAGAAGGGTCACTTGTGATACAATAGTGAATGATTGTTATCAGGACTGATTGTGAGGGTTGGAAATGTAAAGGTAGATGTTTGGTAGCAAGGAAGGGAGTTATTAACTCTCCAGTCTAGGAGTGGAGGTCTCTGGGACCATCAATGGAGAAGAGCTGAGAGCGGGACCCTACACAGAGAAGCAGCGAGGCCTGAGATGGAGGCAGAGAAGATGACGTGGAGTGATGAAGTGGTACCTTGCTATCACTACCAACTGCTCTGAAAGGCATCACATTAGAAGGTCCCGGATACAGTGGGAGAAAATGTGGAACAAAACTCAAAATTATTAAAAAAAAAAAAAAAAATCAGGCTTACCGGTCAGAAAGAGACTAGATCTGAAACTGTGGCCCTCAACCACCCTTCAGGTCTGGAAAGGAACTTACCCTGTGGCCCAACTTTCAGCCAAGCACGAGATCAGTATATAGGGAAACAACAATACTAGTAATGTATGCTCGCCATGGAACAGTCAATCATTTAAAATCAAAAGGGCAACAGTTACCTAAGGACAAAGTTGAGAAGGGATGGGAAGGTGGATGAAATGGCAATGGGAACCAAAGAGAGAAAGTGGGATAACTATTGTTGCATACAGGGAACTGCAGCCATTGAGAGGAAACAAAATCTATGATTTGCTGACTGTGAAACTGGTGATCTGCCCTGTAAACCTTGACTCAATTCACAATAAATTAGTTAAAGAAATTATGTATCTATGTATGCAATATGTGTGTACAGGTATGTGTATGTGTACATGTGTCTACATGTCTATATGTATATGAAGGAGCCCTGGTGATGCAGTGGTTAAGTGGCTGGTTGCTAACTGAAAGATCAGAAGTTTGAATGCACCAGCCAGTCTGTGAGAGGAAGATGTGGCCAGCTGCTTCCATAAGGTTTCTATGATGCAGTTTCACGCTGTCCTATAGGGTTGCCCTGAGTCAGAATTGACTTGATAATGGGTAAATTATATGTACATTATATACATGTATGTGCATGCATGCACACACGTTGCTATTGATAAGCATCCTCGAGTTGGTTCTGACCCACAGCAACCCTGTATAGGGTTTCCAAGGAGAAGCTAGTGGGTTTGAACTGCTGACCTTGTGGTTTGCAGTCCAATGCTGATCCTACAGAGCCACACCAGGACTCCACAGTCCATGTGAAACATGGCCTCATCTATCCTGAGACTGGAAGAACCAGATGATGCCCAGCTACCAGACTGACTTTTCTAATCAGGACCAGAATAGATGGATCCTGACAAAATGCGAGAAAAACGTGGAACAGAACTCAAATTATTAAAAAGCACAGACTTACTGGACCAGTTAAAACTAGAGGACTCTCCAAGACTCCCTAAGCCCGTGATATTCTTTAAACTTAGACCTGAAACTATCCCAAGGTTTAGCTGTTACCTAAATGACAGGTTCATAAAATCAAGAGTATCGCCCATGAGTATTGCTTTCTTTTTAAAAAATCATCCATATGACACTAAACAGTCAATGACTGCTCTAAAGCAAAGATGAGAAAGTGAGGGAGTCACGAAATTAGATTACTGGAAACAGAATTGTTGTTGTTGTTAAGTGCCTTCGAGTCGGAGCCGACCCATAGCAACCCTGTACAGGGTTTCCGAGGGTGTAAATCCTTACAGGAGTAGAAAGCCTCATCTTTCTCCCGCGGAGCGGCTGGTAGTTTCGAACCACTGACCTTAAGGTTCACAGCCCGATTCGTAACCACTACGCTACAGAATGAAAATAATGAGAATGTTGACATATGGTGAAAAATGTAAATGGGAACCTAACTGGGGATATAAACTTTCACCAACAACACAATTTAAAAAAATAATAATTTTAAGTTTTTATTGTGAATTGAATGATAATTCACATGGGAGAACATCAGTTTTACACTCATCGTATTTCATTTCATTGCAATGATTACAATCCCCTCCATGCATCATCATTCAACAACAACAAAAACTTTTTAAGTACTTTGAACACACTCAATAACCTGTAAAGTTGTGGATTTGCCCTTATTCAGCTACCCAGCAGAATGCCCACAGTCTGAGTTCTGCCCAGTGACAAGCCCTCAGCTGTTTCCTGTTTCACTTATAGAAAGCCATCAATTCAAGGGTGACTCAAGTACCTGCTTCCAGAACAGTGGCATCAGAATCACCTGACAGGCTTTCCACACAGGTAGCTGGATGACAGAAACTTAAACTCTTAGTGGTGGTGTGGGGCCAGGAATTTGCATTTCTAATAAGATCCTGGGTGAGGATGCTGCTGCTGCTGGCTCTGGAACTGTACTTTGAGAACCACTGCTCTATTATCACTGGCTCTTACCTTTCTGTCATTTATTTTTTTGTAACACAGACCCTTTGAGAGTCTAGAGAAACTTTCAGGCTTTTGCTTACACATGAAGCCTTTTTCGAATAATTTCAGGAGGATCCTGAATGCTTAGGAGTTCATGGATCCCCAGCTAAGAACTTTTGCTCTAGAAATTCCAGACGCTAGCTTCAAAAAAGGCCAAGCCATCGGAGAAGCATGCACTGCCTTGATTTCCCTGTGTTGTACTCTCAAGTTGGGCTCTCGGCTTACACTCAGCACCTTGTAGAAACTGCAATGGGACACCTACTATCATATTTACAAAATTAATGGGGTCAGGGACTTTATTCACTATATTAACAGAGTCCCTTATAGCAAGCTCCATATAAGATTTCTCTCATTTTTAATGGGAGTCTTGGTATTCTGGAGGAATGCCTTGCTTTTTGCTGGACAATGACTATAACTGGTCACATTATTCTGTTTACTTTGGCTCATCAAATTTAGAACCAAATTTCTGACTCTAGTTTAGCAAGCTGCGGGTCCTTATGGTCTCTATATATTTAAGCACTCTCTTCCCACCAGATCTTAATTGCCTATTTAATGTCTAATTTCTCTCGATAAGACTACCTATGTGTTCTGTTGAGATTGTCCCTTCATAGCATGTGTGATTCTCAAGGGCGTGTGGGGATAGTGATTGACCCCAGGCCATGAGCTATGTTTGGAGCTGCAGATAACGTCATTCTTGGCCCTGCATCACCACCTTTTTCTCACCGCTGGTCCACACACACCACAGAGCACCAACATCTTAGCTGAGAACCATTCCAGTTGATTCAGAGCTTTTGTATGCCCTTTGTCATAAAACTTAGGGGAACCATGCGGGGAGGGATACAAAAGTTAATTTTTTACTTTCACATAAATAAGTAGGTATCTACTCACTCATTTTAACACAACTTTGTGAGACAACAATTCTCAGTTTTGTAAAGATAAGAAATTAAGGCTAATGAACGTGACTTACCAAATTCCAACTGAGAAGAGGACCCAGTTTGGTTGACTGACCCTTAATCAATCTAGCAGTGCTTGTTCATGTTCAAACATCCTAATTATTTGTTTGCTCTTTCATTTTATTTAATTGATAAACTTATTAGGTGTCTATTAGGCATCATATACCTTAATTGTTTATCTGAGTAAGACATTGGTCCTGCATTCAAGTAAGACAGAGTGTAGAATGAAACTGGGCAATTCCAACATAGTGAGGTAAGTAATACAATAGAGAAAACAGAGCAACATGAATGGTCACCAGGGAAGTCGTTAGACTGCCTGTGGTCAGTGCCCAAACCACCAAACTCACTGCCACCAACTTGATTCTAACTCAGAGCAACCTGGAAGGACAGAGAACTGCCCATATGGTTTCCATCTTTCTCTTGTGGAACAGCTGGTGGGTTCAAACTGACCACCTTTTGGTTAGCAGCTAAGTGCTTTAATCACTGTGCTATCAGGGCTCCTTGTGCTAAGTACAGTGTTGATGGAAAAGGACTGAGTGTAGGTGGTGCTATGTAAGGGACGGTTGTCAGGGAAAGCTCTAAGGATATGATGTCTGTTATGGATTGTTTTATGACCCCCAAAAAGATATGTTCAAGCCCTGGTCCCTGATTTATACCTGTAAATGTGACTGAACTTAATGGGAAATAGCATCTCTGCAAATGTAATTAATTAACATGTTGTTGTTGTTAAGTGCTGTTGAGTCGATTCTGGCTCATAGCGACCCTGTAGTGGGTTTTCGAGGAGCAGCTGGTGAGTTTGAACCACCGACCTTGTAGTTCAAACCGACCTTGAGGTCGAGTGCTTATCATATGGTGCCACACCAGGACTTCTAGTTAACATGAAGTGGGCTCTAATTCAACAAGGCTGATGTCCTTACAGGAAAATGAGAAGAGACACAGATACAGACACAAGATGACAGAGGCAGAGATTAGAGTTATGCCGCCACAAACCAAGGAATGCTGGGGGCTACCAGAAGCTGGAAGTGACAAGGAGGGCTCTTCCTCTAAGACCTTCAGAGAAACCATCATCCTGCCAGTATTCTGATTTGGACTTCTAGTCTCTAGACTTGGGAGAGAATACATTTCTATTGCTTTCAGCCACCCAGTTTGTAGTACTTTGCTATGGCAGCTCTAAGAAACGAAAACAACAACAACAACAACAACAACAAAAAAAACATGTCTGAACTGACTTTCAGAGGATGGCTATGATTAAGCCTTGGGGAGAGGTGAGGAAGAGTTTCAGGTGACTGGAATAGAAAAGTACAACTCAGGTCCCATGGTTGATGCTCTGGAGAAAGATGTGGCTTTCTGCTCCCGTAGATTTACAGCCTCAGAAACCATATACAGGAGTGCTCTGAGTTAGAATCCATGGGGTGACTCACCACCACCAAGGATGATGTATAAAGAATTGACGATTTCCATATTTACCTAAAAGTTCTAAAAACATTCCTTAAATTTAACTACTATAAAAACAATGGTTTCCTATTTTATAAAACCAATTTATTATCCTTACCTTAATATTGATAATAATATCAGGTTTCAGGTTTAAGTTCTTAATTAATTCTAATTGATCTAAAGTAGTAATGACTTCTTGCGAAAATGATGGAATTTCAGTGATAATATAACCTGTAGAGGAAAATATCATTTAAAAAGCTTTAGACTACCATCCATGTAAAAGTGTGGATTTATTGTTATTACTTTATAAAATAACATCTAGTTTATTGACAAATATTAAAGCAGGTCAAAACACTACCTGTCAAAGTTTAAAATGAATGATTAAGTTTACTGCTATATGAATTATGCCCATATATGATGTTTTCATGATAATAAAATCACTGGGCCAGCAGGGCACAGCTTTAAAAATTCTCTATCAATTTATTTTAGACACATGAGGTGTCTAGGGAAGGAAGTCCAATGCTAGTCATTCTTGTAACTCGTGCTAGGAAAGTACACATGATTAATAGTAAAGGCATATTATAAGGGGTGGTTGGTATCTTATTTTTCTTTCTAAAACTAATATTTCATAAAATAATAGAATATCATATATCTATTGATCTATTGATTAATCGCTCGATCATATACTTAAGTTATGTTGTTGTTAAGTGTGTTGAGTTAGTTCCGACTCATAGTGACATTGTATAGGGTTTCTGAGGTTGTAAATTTTTGTGGAGCAGAATGCCTCATTTTCCTCCCATGGAGCAGACGGTGGGCTCAAACTGCCAACATTTTGGTTCGTGGTCTAGTGCTATCCCTTGGAGTCATCACATTCCCGTAACTAAGTTATGTTGTGGTTAAGTGCCATCGAGTTGACTCCGACTCATAGCAGTCAGTATAGGGTTTCCGAAGAACAGCTGGTGGGTTTGAACTGCTGACATTATGGTTTGAAGACCCTATAGCACTATACCAGCAGTCCAAGTTATAGAGAGTATTAAAATACTCATGTGTCCACCAAACCAGTTATGAAGCAAAATGTTGGCAGTCAAGATTCTGGTTTAGCACAGTTATTGCGTTGTATCCTCACCTAAAGACCCTAAGTCTTCTTATTGATATTTACCCTTCTTACAACATTGCATTAAGGTGCGCTAGTAGTATAGTGGATTAGGTGTTGGGCTGCTAACCACAAGGTCAGAAGTTTGAATCCTGCAGCAGAAAGATGAGCTTTCTGTTCCCATAAAGATTTACAGCCTTGGAAACCCTCTACAGAGTTGCTTTGAGTTGGAACCAACTCAACAGCACTTAAAAATAACAGTAACAGCATAAAGAGATTAATGTGAGGTGGTGGTGGTGTGCCATTTGGACTGTCCACCTTGTGGTTCACAGTCCAGTGCTGATCATACAGATTTCTCTAATTATGTTATTCTCTAGCTCAAGACACTTTTCTTCTAAAGTCTCATCTCCTTCAGCTCGAATAAGCGTCCTTCAATCTATTTTTCTGTAAGAACAACTGACAGACAATGATGGTTATTCAGTCTTGGATATTTGGCAGACATCGTATAAAATGTGAAACAGGAGGAGTCTGTTACTTCTAGGACAATAATTGACAGTATCTGTTGCCAATAGTGACATTCAAGTACAAATCAGAATTTTGGAAAACTTGCATCCATGGTCATTAGTTTAAGAGCTTCCCGATGCATAAGACTTTTTTGATGAAATGGGTGTTGATATTAACAAATGTGATTTTTAAATTACTGTATAATGAAACAAACATGTCAACACTTGAAAGATGTGGATCACTCAGCGAACCACTATTTTCCATATGAACAATGCATGCTATTAAAAAAAGGATGAATGAATAAAAGACCCATTGCAAGTGTAGGATAGAAAAACCTCCACAAAAGCCTTGTCATCTAGTCAATTCCAATTTGGTAACGTGTGTTACTGAGTAGAACTGCCCCAGGGTGTTTCCTTGGTTGTAATCTTTATAGAAGCAAAGACCTTTCTTTCATAGTGTTGCTTTTCTGTTAGGTGCTGTCGAGTCGACTCTGACTCACAGCAACCCTGTATAGAGTTTCCAAGGAGTATCTGGTGTGCTTGAACCATCTACCTTGCAGTACAAATGACTTTACAGTCTGATGCAATAGCCCACAGCACCATGGGTTCAAACCATCAACCTTTGAGTTAGTCAAGCACAAACTATTTGTACTACCTAAGAATCAGGCTGTGAACCTCAAGGTCAGCAGTTGGAAGCTACCAGCTGTTCTGTGGGAGAAACATGAGGTTTTCTGCTCCCGTAAAGATTTACAGCCTTGGAAACCCTGTACAGGGTCGCTGTGAGTCAGAAGCGACTCCACATCACATAACCACCATCACCACCAAGGATCTATAAGTGCAAGGTAGACCAATGAGTTTTAAAGTTACAGAGCTTGGAAAATTCACTGAAATAGCTTTAGATTCCACATTGTAACTAACCTTTAAGGAAATACCACTAGTCAAGTTTCTAACTATATCTCTGGGTTGGTCGGGATTCAAACAAAACAGAAAGTAACAGATTGAGTAGAGGCAGATGTGAGGATCCAGTCAAACATTAAAGAGGCTTGCAAAAAATGTAAAAACAATGCCACTTTACTAATTATTTTTTTTATTTGAAAAACATATTTTTCATTAAATATGCTATTTATGCTAACACATAATGACTTTATTGCTAATTTAAACAAATAAATGATTAAAAAAAAAAATGTCTTCAAGCAAAGAGTGGGACCCTATCCAGAGAAGCAGTGATGCCTGAGATGGAGGTAGAGACAATGACGTGGAGAGATGGAGCAGTTGGGGACGTTAGACACAGAGAGGGAGAGGCGCTGTGTGCTGACGACGGGGGGCAGGCTTGTAGTGTATACCCTTTGGTTGGTTGATGATGCATAGAGGGGATTGTAACCATAACAGTGAAACAATATACAATAGGATGAATGTAAAACTAATGTTCTCCCATATAAACTATCACATAATTCACAATAAAACATTTTTTAAAAAATGTCTTCATCTGAATTTCTAATATGGTTAAATATTAATAGAATAATCTGTGCAAGTAAAAACTCTCTTGGGTCCTCAACAATTTTTATGAATGTAACTCACTTACTCACTGCCATTGGAACAATTATGACTCATAGTGACCCTGTATAGGGTTTCTGAGGCTACAAATCTGTACAGGAGCAGAAAGCCTCATCTTTCTCCCATGGAGTGGCTGGTGGGTTTGAACTACTGATTCTGTGGTTAGCAGTCCAGTGCTTATGCTACCACACCACCAGACTCATCCAACAAATATGTGGTAACTTTTTTTTTTAATTTAAATTTTTATTGTGAATTGAATGATAGTTTACATGGAGAACATTGGTTTTGCACTTATTTTTTCATGGCAATGATTACAATCTCCTCTGTGCATCATCATTCAACAGTATTTGCTTTTATTCCCTCTGTTTTGAGGTTTGTTTTATTTTGCGGGGGGATGTACACAAAAACACTCAGGAATATATAATTATTTAAACAACCAAAGGGCACATTCTGAAAGTCTGCCTCCTGGCCGCCAGCACATAGTATTCCTCTTTCCATGAGTCTAGAGTCCTCAGCTGCTACCTCTCTCCATGTCTTCATCTCTTCCTTCATCTCTGGTGTCACTACTTCTCTTGATGGGGTTCCACATTCCGCTCATGCTCTTCTCCCTTGATGGTCCTAGGGTTCTCTGTTCCTGGAATATAAGATTAACTACTCCCCCATTTATGTTACAAAACTTCTACCTTTACAATTGTAACAATCTCAATTAGTCACGATAACAAATACTCACTATTAAATCATAAGAATCTTATCCCCATCTCCTTTCACCAGACCCTCTAGACAAGATGAAAACTATTCAGTGGGGATTCTGCCTCCCCCTGCACTCTCTGAAACTAAACTTCCGCTTGAAAACTTGTAAGCCAGTCACTTCATGCCTTTATAGCCCCTCATTTTAGGTAGCCAATGTCTAAGTTGCCTGTCCCTAACTACCCGGCATACAGAGGGGGATAGGTTGAAGAATCTTTCCCTCTTAATTAGTATTTACAGCTATTACATCCATAAGTACAGGTCAAGTTAATCAAATTTACACTTGTTTCCTTTATTCAATTTTTAAAATCTTCTAGTCAAGTAGTGATCAAAGGTACTATCTACAAGTTTGGGTATTCTTATGCATCTCCCCTCACTTCATATCAGCTGGATACTTCACTCTCAGCTCCAGCCTTCTGTGGCTATGTCCTTGTCCATGGACTCAGAAGACCCCAGGACTCACCATAATTTGGACCAACCAGCCCTTCCCCTTTTCTCTTTCATCTCCAGGTCAACAGGGGTCTATAGAACGTGGTTGAAGTCAGCCCATATCTTCATTGCTGCCTTTCCCCCACTTCCACTCACATGTAGACCAACGTGATTTCCAGCAAGCTTATGATAGCTGCTTGTGTGATCCTTTTGGGTTTCAGTCTTGGGGTGGTGGTGGTAGAATGTGGTAACTTAAAAACCATTATACTATTCTAGGCATTGCATAGGAAGTCCTGATGTGGTGCTGTAGGATGAGCAACATAAAGTGGTTCAAGCCACTCCTTGGAAATCCTATATAGGGCCTCTATGAGTTGAAACTGACTCGATGACACTTAACAACAACAGGCATTTATAAGATAGCAGTCCTCAGATTTTCTGATTTCATGACCCTTTATAGTCACAAAAGGAACACTGGCGGTGCTGCTACATTTGAGCTCTGTTGCTGCTGCCACTGTGCCAATCCATCTCTTTTTCTGTGACCCTCAACTTTACCCTGCATGATGTCCTTCTCCAGGGACTGGTCCCTCCTGATAATATCTCCAAGTATGAGAGATGAAGCCTGACCATTTTGGCTCCTAAGGAACATTCTGGTTGTACTTTTTCCAACACAGATTTGTTTGTTCTTCTGGCAGGCAGTCCATGGTATCTTTAATATTCTTCTCCAATACCATAACTCAAATGTATCAACTGTGTTTCTGATTCACTATCCAACATTCACAAGCATATGAGACTATTGAAAATACCATGGCTTGATTCAGGTGCACCTTAGTCCTCAAGCTGTCATCTTTGTTTTTGAAACAACCACTTACAATAGTTCAAAATATCATTAAATGCTTAGGCTTGTG